CATGATAAAAATTAAATTATTATATTCAAATTAAGAATTTAAAATTTTAAAAATTTGAATTAATTTATCTAAATAAAATATTTAAAAATTAATTAAAAAAATAAATTAATGTAATTCAAATTTAAAAAATTTTAAAATTTTAAAATTTCTAATCCGAACACCATAAGTGGATTTGTTGCAATTTCTCAATCAGGATAAACTTTATGTAGAAAGAATGACGCAAGTTGATTCTTCACAACCCCAACGGCGATTAATTAATTCCCCAAACACCTAATTGCTGTTATTCTGCTTCTAAAGATGCTATTCCAAAAGGGGGCATGCTGAGATATATAAAACTTGCTACTATCTAACTACTAGCTACACCTGTTCCCAGACTTCCCATTTCATCAACTACTAAGCTCTATGATTGCCCTAATCATGCTAAGAATAAGAGGCAGCCAATTTGCCCAACTAATCTCACCGTTTTGGCATTAATTTCACGACCAAAATTTTCATATTTTTTTATTTATAAGATTCGAATTTGAGATTTTTTTAAAGTAGTTGAAGCCGGTACCACTAAAAAAGAAAAAGAAAAAAATGTGTTAGTGAATAAAAAATAAATTGTTATACATCAAGAAGGATTAGTACATAAATAGCTAAGGAGCCGACAAAATTATGACCTTCAACTTCAACAAACAATTATCATAGCATGACCAAATCCCTAGAGCAGATCCAGATTGAAAGCATGATACAGGGAAAACCTTCTAATCACGAAGCCAGAATTTGTTCTTTCTGAACTATCTTCAACAAGAACGGCTTAAAAAGAGGCTCCAACAAACCCCATTATAGTCTATAGAAGCTGGAATTGAATGAAAAATGGAAAAGGGGTTGAAAAGTGTAGGTTTCCACCGCTAATTATCTTGTCATTTGGCAGAGAGAAATCCAAATTAATAATGTAAATTTTAACAAATCCTTTTTTTTATTATGTTATTTTCATTTAATTATTGATTTTCAATATACAATTGTGTATAACTTTATATTTTCTTTGGTGATTGTGTATAACTTTATATTTTACTTTATAAAATGTTCTTTTTTCCTTTGATAAAGTTTATTGAACTGTGCCCCAATCACCACACAATGGTATGCGGAATGGGTTTTAAAGAAAGAGGGAAAACGAAATAAAATGGAAAAAGAAATATATGGTGCATGAGAGACAAATAAAATTATTACGCCATTGATTTGAAAGCAAAACACAAATGTCAATTTTGGATGCAAAGCACAAAATGCTAAGAAGAAGAGAGAGGATCTAATTATGAGTAAGATGAGCTAGTCATCTTTGTGTCTCTGCTGACAGAAAATAAAATTGAATTAAAAGCATTAAAAATTATATTAAAAATATAAATTAGGGGTGTAAATGGATTGGATTGAGTCGGATTTGAATAAATCCGTTATCCAACGTAATCAAAATTTAATGATTGGGATAAGTTAAATTTATATAATTTTTTTTTACAAATTCAATCAAACTCAACCCATTCACGTGTTAGATTGGGTTGGATTAATCGGATCAACATAATTATATTTATTTATTTTTTTATAAAAATTTAAATATTTTAAAATAAATTAAATCATTTGATACATAATTACAAATTCAATGTTATCGACCTATAAAACAAATAATGATACAAGTTAAATTCTAAAATAAATTTATTAATTTGTTACATTATTATCAACTTAAAAAATTAATATTAATTAATACA